CCAAAGACTGAGGAAGACAAGAAGAACGTGACTCGACTGCAGGATCTGGTAGACAAGCTGCAGCTGAAAGTGAAGGCCTACAAACGCCAAGCTGAAGAAGCTGTAAGTCTAATGTCAAATGTCTTGAGTGTGAAGTTTTGACATTTTCTATTCAATACACTCAGTGCCATGAGTGCAATGCTCTGAAAGGGGTTGGATATCTTGTGTAATCCTAACAGGAGGAGCAGGCCAACACTCACCTGTCCAGGTACAGGAAGGTGCAGCATGAGCTGGAGGAGTCTCATGAGCGCGCTGACATCGCTGAGTCCCAAGTCAACAAGCTGAGAGCCAAGAGCCGTGAAGCTGGGAAGGTAACAACATATGATGATTATGTAGAGAAAAGGGACTTTTTATACATAAAATCTATGAAACATTTTTATTAATTTTTTTTTTTTGCATTTTCAAGACTAAAGATGAAGAATGAAGAGAAGAAACTACACCTACAAGCAAGCATATGACTGACTTGTGCTGAGTTTTTCTGTGTCCATTAAATGGCATAGTTTGACTTTGTTCTCCATTATTTTTTCCACTTTCAAACTTTATCACATACTCAATCACTGTTTAAAAAGACAACTCATGAGGCATGATGTGGTAAAGAACACAAATGCAGTGTACTGAAATTGTGATAGTAACATAAAGAACCCAAAAATGAAAAGCAAGGGAAAAAACAAAACAAAACCGGAAACAGCCTAAACTTCATAACAAAATTGTAAACTTGTCTTTGTAAGTCACTTTGGATAAAAGTGTCTACTAAGTGCATAAATGTAAATGTGTTGGAATAAATCAAAAGTCACTAGCAAATAAGAACACAGAACACAAAATACTCAAGGAGACAAAAGAAAATGGGTATATTTATGCACTGTAAAAAAGGCATTACATGAAACAGTGACAACTGAGGAAATACCACAATACAAAGGGAAGGGGTGTTGCAATATATTAGTTGCAGTTAATTAACACTGAATAATAATAAATATAAGTTATAAGATTTTGATCGCTTTAACGTTTGTGATTGTTGTTAACCTTCACAATATATTCAAACGAACTACATTTCCCATGAGCAGCAGCGCGAGAGACGAGGAAGGGAGAAGTATGCTGGACTGGCCCTTATTAATCATGGCCTCCTAATAATCCCATCCACTGAATTGGCTCTATCGCTCTCTCCTCTCCACCTTTAGCTGGTGTGTGGTGAGCACACTGGCGCCATTGTACTGTGGCTGCCGTCGCATCATCCAGGTGGAGGCTGCACACTGGTGGTGGTTGAGGAGAGACCCCCTCATATGATTGTAAAACGCTTTGGGTGCACAGCAATACACAATAAAGCGCTATATAAAT